AGAGAGAGAGAGAGAGAGAGAGAGAGAGAGAGAGAGAGAGAGAGAGAGAGAGAGAGAGAGAGAGTTTTGAAATTAGGCACCAAAATTGAAGGACTAAATTATTTGGGACCAAAATCGAACTATTTGAATAAACATAGGACCAAAAATGCAATGCATTTATGAATTTGAATAGATACTATTTACACTAGGCCATGTAATTTGTAAGTTCCACCTATTTTTTCTCTACTTCTCCTTCTCGAACAATCTTACAAGAATTAGGAGGCTTTGATGTGCAAATGTTGTGCTTTTGTGTTTCGATTGATTTTTTATTTTGGGGGTTTGATTGTATCTTGTTTGATGATGTACCTTCATGTTTCGGAATTTGATTATGGTGAGAACTACTTCGTACTGGTTTAAGGAATTAACAACAATGGCGGGAAAAAAAGCTTCATGGTCCCTGTGTTATTTTGGTTCACTCTGTTCCTTTGTTCCTGCTAGTTAAAGTTCAACTTTGATCGAGTATTTATTGCATTTTAAAGACAATTGCAATGTGTGCTTGAATTAATAAGAAATGGAGAAACTTTATCTGTGTGTTTTTGCCATGTTGGCGACATGTTCTTGGGCTATCATCGTTAAATCCCACATGAAATACAAAGACCCAAAACAACCATTAGGTGTGCGAATAATGGATTTAATGAGCCGGATGACTTTGGAAGAAAAGATAGGTCAAATGACGCACATTGATAGTTATGTAGCAACACCAGAAGTAATGCGAACTTACTTAATAGGTAATCTTTCAAAATTACTATCTTTTTCAGTATCAATTACCTAAAGATTTCGTTTTTAACGAGTCTCGCATCTTCCTTAGGGAGTTTATCAATTGGTGGAGCGAGTCCTCCATCAAAAGAGCCATATCCAGAGGCATGGATTAATACGATAAACACTCTGCAAAGAGGATCATTGGCTACTCGTTTAGGTATACCGATGATGTACGGAATTGATGCTGTCCATGGCAATAGTAAAGTTTACAACGCCACCATTTTCCCACATAATATTGGGCTTGGAGTAACTAGGCAAGTAAAATGTAGTTTCGTTTAATCGTTATTTCCTTTTTTAGCAAGTTTCTCCACCCCTTATTAATGTATTTTCTTTTTGGAATCATAAACAGGGACCCTGAATTGATGAAGAAAATTGGAGCAGCGACTGCTCTTGAAGTTCGAGCAACAGGAATCAATTATGTCTTTGCACCTTGTGTCGCAGTATGTAGAGATCCAAGATGGGGTCGTTGCTTTGAGAGCTTTAGTGAAGATCCTAATATTGTTCGACTCATGACAGAGATAATAATTGGACTTCAAGGAGACATCCATAGTAAAGGTCAAATAGGCTTTCCTTTTGTTGTTCGACAGTAAGTCTTGCCATGATTTCATTTTATTAAGAGTCAGTTTGTACTTTGTAGATTTGATTGATTAATTAGCCCTTTTGCTTCACAGAAAAAAAGTTGCAGCTTGCGCCAAGCACTATGTCGGTGATGGTGGAACGACAAGAGGCATCAATGAGAACAACACTGCCATAGATTTTCATGGTTTAAAGAGCATTCATATGCCTCCTTATCATGATGCGATTCGGAAGGGTGTTGCAAGCATCATGGTTTCTTATTCTAGCTGGAAGGGAGTCAAAATGCATAGAAACCATGAACTTATAGCTGGTTTTCTCAAGAACGCTCTGAAATTCAAAGTAAAGAACTTGTATTTTCTCCTATTCTTTTCAAGATTATGGTTTCATATACATAGAGACGTGATGGTTGAATGTTTTGTTGTATCTTTTATAGGGATTTGTGATCTCGGATTTTATGGGTATTGACAAGCTGACAGATCCGCCTCATGCTGATTACACTTGGTCCATTCAACAAAGCATTTCAGCTGGCTTAGACATGGTTGGCTCAAACACAATTATATGCTAAAACAAGTTTAGTTTTGGTTTATTTGTTGATCATGTGAAAACTCAAAACTGTTGCAGATCATGGTTGGGTTCAACTACCCAGAATTCATCAGTGGGTTAACACACCTTGTGAAGAAGAAGTTCATCCCAATGAGTCGGATTGATGATGCAGTAAGGAGGATTTTACGTGTAAAGTTCATGATGGGTTTGTTCGAGAATCCATTCACAGATTTTAGTATGGCAAAATATCTTGGAGAACAGGTTGCAATCATTGTTCTTGAATCTGTTAATTCTCTTGGTAGGAAAACATTAAGAACATATAATTTGATGCTAATTTCTTTCTTTCATATACAAACAGGATCATCGAGATTTGGCTAGGGAAGCAGTAAGGAAATCTTTAGTCTTGCTAAAGAACGGTAAATTTACCGATGTGCCAATGCTTCCCCTTCCGAAAAAGTCAACAAGAATTTTGGTAGCCGGGACCCACGCCGATGACATTGGTAATCAGTGTGGTGGTTGGACCATTGAATGGCATGGGAAACGTGGTAATATTACAAAAGGTATATGCAATTTACTTACACTTCTAATAATACATAATATAATAGCAGTACGTAACAATCTTTGTTGATGTTAACGTACAATAGGTACAACCATTTTAGCAGCAGTGAAAAACGCAGTTAACCCGACAACCGAAGTGGTGTATGAAGAGGAGCCGAGTCCCGATTTTATCAGATCCAACAACTTCTCATATGCGATTGTGGTAACGGGTGAATACCCGTATTCAGAGTCGGTTGGAGACAGCCAGACTCTAATGATACCTGAACCTGGTCCCACAACCATCATGAATGTATGCGGGTCGGTGGAGTGTGTGGTGGTGCTAATCACAGGTAGGCCTGTAGTGATCGAACCTTATGTTCCTATCATGGATGCTTTGGTGGCTGCATGGCTTCCGGGGACTGAAGGCCAAGGAGTAGCAGATGTTTTGTTTGGTGATTATGGTTTTACGGGAAAACTTGCGCATACTTGGTTCAGGACTGTTGATCAGCTCCCTATGAATGTTGGGGACCCAAATTATGACCCGTTGTATCCGTTTGGATATGGGCTCACTACGGAAGCTAGCCGGTCTTAGAAGATGGAAGTGAGAAATATATAGGGAATTAGTTTAGGTTATTACTAGTTTTTTTGGTTTTGAAATCGTCTTTCTTAAAGCTTCAGGTTCTTTGTCTTTGTTATATTATAAGGAAATCATTGAAGAGATTATATTATTGATAAAAAAAAATTATATATTTGTAATTGTAATTACTTTTCTTATCTTCATTTCTCTCTCGAACCCGAACCATTTTAATGGATCATCGGTCTTAGGAATGCAGGGTTCCATAAATATGAGATAAGGGGATGTAAATAGTTTCTAATGTTGCAAAACTCATTAGGAGTTTTCTATAGGGCCGACTAACGCTTAGCAAGTATTCGGTCTAGACGGGGAGTATTCAGATTAGATAAATTATATGAAATTAATTTTAAAAAATCATATATATAACAAATATAACAAGTTTATTAAAAATCATAACAAAATAGAAGAACGTCAATAACAATTTTAGACTTTTTTCCAGAAAAAAAAATTGAAATTTCCGAGTTTTTTTTTTCAGGTTTTCCAATATTGACCGATTCCGAAATTTTACAATTTTGTCTGATTCCGAGTTTTTTGCTCGATTCCTAATTAGGCGTCTCGATCCCTACCCGATTCCGATTAATTAACCGCCTAGGCCAAGGTTTGCAACACTGCCAAAGGGTATGGAAACTATCTCCACTGATGACCTCTAGCGTAAGAAACATGCAAGCCCAAACCGGAGGGTCTTTTGTATGCAACATCAGCCCACAATGTAATGCAAACAAATACATTGTCGGTGCCTCTCACATTGAGGCAACACGGTTATATGTTGTAGTCTCATCTTTCTTCATATACATCTTACATACACAAACAAAATAAATCTAACTGAAGGGTATAAAAACCGCAACCACGCCTTCCCATTGTCCTCTTTATATATTCGTATTTTACAAACTTTTTTAAAAGATCTTTTGTTTTACAACTAGTGTTTTTTTACATATTTGTTTTCATACATTTAAGGCTGTAAAAGAAAAATATGAAAACTATTTTTTTAACATATTTGCTTTTACAAATTCATAGAAGAAACTAAGAGACGCATTGAAAAGAACTTTAATGGTCGGTCTTGATGTAATAAAATATATAAACTGCTGCTTTTATAAACATTTGAAATAGATTGGAGGCCAAATTTGGTATTAACCTGTTTTTAAATATTACTCATGTATCAACTAATTTATCGTGCAAAATTAGTTTTTTTTTTTTTTTTTTTTTGGCTAATCTGTCAAAAAACCCAAGATAATCTTTTACTTAATTATAAAGTCAATAGTTACAAAATATTTATTTATGTAGTTTATTATTACATAAGAAATTTATTCAGTGTAATTATTCTTCTAAGTTTGTCATTGTTGGTACTTATCAAAAGTTTGTTAGAATTTCTATTCTAAATCTGAATCTAAATAGTGTTTACATTGTAGGGTTATGTGCATCAAAATTACATGGGATAATGACCTGAGAGGTAAAGTATTTTAACTTTTGATCATATTTGGTCACTAAACTTTTTTTGTAATGAATTAACCTTTAAACTTGTTGAAACGTGTAAATGTTACCCTTATGACCGCTTTTAGCCGGTCATAAGGGTAAAATGCGAACAATTTCAAATAATTCAAGAGTAAATCAAGCACGAAAAAAGTTCAATGACTAACTGTACAAAGAATTAAAAGTTTGTTACCCTTTCAAGTTATTATCCCATAAATGGTTCTAGATGTTATTAAGGATGAGCACAAGCGAGATATGGAGGTCACAAAAGTGAGGATGTTGTAGTAATCGTGTGATATACTTTTATTGTATAAGGTACCAGAAACAACACTTAGAAATACAGCAGGAGCGGCTTCAATCACAAAGAAACTAAAGGAAAAAAAATATGGTGGTTTCAAACATATATTTAGGACATAGGCAAAGGTTTTCACTCCAGAAGGTGGAGAAGGTCGTTGTAGATCGTGCGAGGAAGATAGAACATATACTTACGACATAGGCGACATATTGAGTTCTTTGGGGAGAAGGACCCTATTACTAGTCGGATGTGGTTAGCGGATATGGTGAACGCTTTCTGGACGAGTTTCTGCCCTGAGAGGTCGAAGGTCAGATTTGCTTCTTGTCTTCTGAAAGACAGAGCTCGAGATTGGTGGAAGGAGGTAGACTTCGCCTTGGGAGGCGAAGCCCTACAGACGATGACTTGGGATGAGTTTGTGACCCGGTTTAGGGCAGAGTTTGCACCAGCTATTGAGGTGCAACAGTTGGCAAGGGATTTTCAGGATCTTCGTCAGACTACTGAGACTATAGCAGAGATCACTGCCAAGTTCTGGGAGAGGGCCTTGTTGAATCCGCAGTATGCAATGGACGAGGAGATGAAGAAGGTAAGGTATCATGATATGTTGAGGGATGACATCAAGGAGTTTGTGAGTATTTCAAGGTGCAAGACCTTGAATGATATGATTGCTAGAGCCCGGGAACGAGAAATTGATTTAGAGCACCTGGGAAAGAGGAAGCTAGAGCAGGTGCAGGCAGATGGGGGTTCTGTGAAGAGACCTAAGACTGCAGGCCAACGGTTGAGGGGTCAGTAGGGTTGGGGTCAGTGCAGCACGTGCGAGAAGCAGCACGGTGGGGTTTGTCGATCTAGGGGTATGGGTTGCTACATGTGTGCCAAAGTTGGTCATGTCAGCAGAGATTATCCCCATAGGATGATCCCGTTATGTTTTCACTACAACCAAGTGGGCCACAAGAAGGCCCACTATCCGAAGTTGATGAGAGGGGCGGTGAGGGAACCTGCTCCAGCCACTTTGAGGATTATTGATGGTTGTGAGGGCAGAGTGGAGGTTCCTATGGTGAGGAGCCAATCATTTCTGTCACATGTCGAGGGGATCTGAGTTTCATCAGTTGATGTTCCAGGTGTGTATTGTATTCTTTTCCTTCATGCTCATATTAATTATATTTATGATTATATGTTTATGTATGAAATGATGTGTGGGGTGTATCTAAGTCTCCGCCTGGGATTATAGTTTTCTTCATGATGGTCTAGACATTTTATCTTAAGAATCTTCATATGTCATTTTGCATGCCGAAAGCCGTGTTTAGGGGATGTTTGGGTGAGCAAGATTGGGATTTCAATGTGGGAAGCATCGGCCATCATTGGAAAAAGCTTAAGTGAGAAATGATCAGCAATTGATTCTATCTTTTGTAGTTTCAACAGGGATTCAAGAAATTCGTGAGGTAGGCATGTCGGGTTTGTATGTAGGGTATGTAGGGGTTCTTCGTGGTTTTGAGGCAATAAGAAATGTGTTGATCATGGATCTAAGATCGGTAGTTGCCAAGTTCATACGTTCGTATTGTGGTCAGTTGTAGGTTCATCGGGAATTGCTCTAAGTGCAAGTAGGTCGTGGAATCGGTTGGGTACCCATTTCGATAATTGTGATATTGTTCTTCGTCGTATGATAAGTCGCCAAGGACTTGTAGTGAGGTCAACGGGATGTACTTCAAATGGTAGAGCTCGATGAGATTTCAGTAAGGATTCATCTGATTTTGAAGCGTGTGTGATCGTGAATATTGGCTAGTAATGGAATGTTAGTTATTGTAAGTTCAGGTTGTTAATAGTTTATATTGTAAGGTTGCAAAATGGATTGGAAATCCATCAAATTTTGTGGATTGGAATAGCGCAGTCGAGTCCAAGTGGGGGAGAATCGTTCGGTCTAAGGATTGCAAGAATGGATGTTCAGGTTTTATTGCACATCAGTAGTGACGTTCGGTGGATATGTGATTTGGAACAGGTTGAGGGTTGTGTTAGAGCCTCTCTGCCTATTATTGTCTGATTAAGGCTTTGGGATTCGAAGCATAACCCAAACATCTGTTTAGGGTATAGTCGGATGCGGGTTCGACTCAGGATGATTATGGTTGGAATGGTAGCTGAGCGGCAGGACCATGGGCGGTGACCATGGCAGTATGGAAGTGTTGTAAGACTGTGGGATGGTCGTAGCATTCACTAGAATGGAAAGTAATAGTAGAGGTGGTGTAAGACTGTGGGGTGGCCCATAACATTCGCTAGATTGACAGATGGTATAGAAGTGTTGTAAGACTGCGGGTTGGTCGTAGCGTTCACTATATTGGTGGATAGTATAGAAGTGTTGTAAGACTGTAGGGTGGTTGTACCGTTCACTAGATTGGCGGATAGTATAAAAGTGTTGTAAGACTGCGGGGGTGGTCATAGCATTCACTAGGTTGGCAGATAGTGTGATAGTGTTGTAAGACTGCGGGGTGGCCCGTAGCATTCACATGGTTCTTGAGTAATAGTGAGAGCATGATAAATCTATGTTTGGACTCATAGTTCCTCTAGGTGGGATTAGACCATGGTAAGGCAGGTCGTGAGATAATGGGAAGGCCACAACATTCATGGAATTAAGGAAGGTTGTGGGTCGTATGAGGCCGGTTGTGATATAAGACTACAGTTGGACATGTAGTATGTTGGGTTTTGAGCATTCTAACACTCCTATGGTGTACATGCAACCCTCAATACCTTGGATCTGTGTTTTCTCTATTATACATGCAAATATCAATTTTCCAAGGTATTGTTCTAACTAGCATA